AAAATGTTCAGTCGTGCAAAGCATTTTGTTCCAAATACTTCTCGCAAACACACGACGCCTCTTCCTTGGACAACCATTTTACTTCAGCTAGCCCCCTGAAACTAATACCAACATTCATAGCCCTAAGAAGTTGGAAATAATCCGTTTATTGACACATCTTTATCCAGACCGTCTAGTGAATGTGCAAATTATCTTATTAAATAACCCTACTACTAGCTAGATTTCGGCTTAAACCGTGACAGTTAAGAAATACAATTGTTTGCTTTAATATTCCTTTGTCACAAAGGCACTTTGTAAAAATTGTTTATTAGCCAACTTGGAGCTTTTGTGACGGGGCGAATGAATAAGTGCCAATTATCTTGGGTTACTGAGGTGAGTGAGTCAATTTGAAATACTTCAAAGAAAATGTATGATCTCCTGTGACTAGAAGAAACTGAGTTTTGGTTAGTACTTACCAGCTGCTCCCGACTTCCCCACCAGTTCACTATGCAGCAACTGGAAATTCCTTTTAGCCTGTGTTCCACAGAATCTATGTTTTTGAAAGAATCACGATCAGACCATGCATAATATTCAGTTGCATCTAACTGCTGCTGCCTATAGCAGCAACTGCTTACTACTTGATTTTAACATGTAAATTAACCGCCATTCTTATTTGTAGGATTGTCACTCTCGCGCGCGCGTTGCAAGTTGATATTCAGATCACACTACTATATCATTTCACGCCGAACGTAATACTGATCATCTCGAACATCTCAATTCTCATGAACTCCGCAAAGATATGATGCGGAGAAGCCAATGGGTGGGGAATGAAGGAAATTTCCCCTCCCCTTTAAAAGTAAAGAAAATTTAACGTCCACTTACCACTGATTTTGGCTTGACCTTTAAACTTAACAAGATTAAGAAATTCTAGTACAAAATATAAAGACTTTGAAGATCACTGAATGGATTAGATTTTAACATGTTCCCTAAAAATAGGTTTTATCAGCAGGGTTATGTACATGATACCATTTGTACCAAATACATACATGATACTACCATTTACATTTAATTGAAAATATTTTTAATTCGATTAATTTCCTTAAAAACAGTAAAAAAAACTGTATGTGACACAGAAACAACATTATTTCTTCTGCTTCAGAAGCCCTACTCCACCCTTTTACTTATATAGTTTGCATCACATGATTTTGCGTACAACCCAGTTGCAGTTTTAACTTTTAACACATTTGTTTTATTTAACACGATGTTTTCTTCTCTACCTTGGTATGCAATTATCTTGTATTGCTTTCCTTTTACACACGGTACAATTACGATGATATTGGCATGTATGAACATAGGTATGCACAGCCTAAAACAAAAGGGAACTAATTACATTTCTGGGCCTCCTTTTCCAATACATTTGTTTATGAACCAAAGACATATTTTACTAGTAAATAAATAAAACATACTACAAAGAGAATGAAATTAAATATATAATGATACGTATAATAACTATAAAAGATTCAACGTTGAGACATTTACAGAATAGCTAGATGATTTTAAAGCCTCTCCTCCAAATGTCAAATAACAATTCTTCAAATTGTGAGGGTTAAAAAGGGAGATAATTAGATATTCAAAAAAACAAAATGTTTGTAATGAGAGGAAAAGGATAAACAAAGACACAGAGCCCCTTTCAAAATTTTTAGGGAGGCCATAGCCCCCTGACTGTGTACCTGCATATGTGACTTCACATGAATGAAGAGATTTCATTAACTGGAGTATCAGTATGACAAGTAGTTTTGAGGGAAACAAATTTAATGAATCTCTAGTGAAATACTACATAGGTATAGGTACTGATTGGTGTCCATCATTTTTGATTAACAAAACTTGCAACATTACAAGAGAAGTAACATTTTTCTTTACAATTTCCAGGTTGAAACTTAACTCTGATTTGGTTTAATATTTTGACAAAAATCTTGTTTAGCTTTGCACCACATACTGGACAGAAAGGCATGGTACTATTCTGCATTTCATCATCAATTTATCATAAATTAAAGTTGTTTATCATAAATTTTGTAGGCCCTCACAAAAATATTCTAGTGGAATCCTAGGGAAATGAGTGAAAAGCCTTTTGTTCTTGATAGAGAGTTGTGCACTCATGAATATCATCAGACTTTTCTGCCTTGGTGGCCTCTTAATCTTATACTGCACACTGGGTACTTCTTTATCAGAAAACTATTAATCTGTGAAAAGCAATGAAAATCATGTAATAATTAGTTTGAACTTTTGATAATCATCAACCACAGACAATTGAAGACGAGGACTTTAAAATACTTGGAAATATGAAGTAGATTGCAAATAAGCTTGATATTAACATGCAAACACCTAAAACATGTGCCTGGCAAACAAATCAGGAAAACCCAGTAGTAGATGACTGTGAGAATTTGTATTATAGCATTTCTGCATACAGTTCTCTCTATTCTTACTCATATTCTTTAAAGTATTACTGTAATGTTACAAAGAATGTCAAAACTTTTCTGAGGATTTGTTAAATGTTTTTCAATTAACTTGGCTGCTTCTTGAAAATTCTGTGAAGAGACATGAAATCTGAGGAAATTAAAGAGAGAGTTAAACCGTCCTCATAGAAAGATTTTGAAATTTACTGGAAAGAAGCAAAGATATGCAAATATTGAAAATAACTGGAGAGGTCACATATTGACAAAATAAATCGAAACTGCAAAAACATCAAAAGCAAGCAATCATCTGATCTCTGCTCTTAAAATTCTTGAAAGCTGTGATAAAGATAATTACTACATCATTTGTAGGCTGCAGCAGTGGCACAACTCAGAACATGAGGTGTTGAGAAAAAATGAATTTGAAGTTTCAGCTTATTGAAATGTATCATTCATACTTCTGCCATTTGTTGGTGGAATATTGTACTGAAAGGTCTGCTGCTGGAAGGTAGACCAATCTGCAATTCTGGAGAGCGCCTTTATTGCAGCCCGTGAGCGATAATTATTCAAACTAATCTCAAGATTAGCTTAACCTGTTGCAAATTCAAGTGATGAATGCTCCTTCTCATGATAGCCTTATGTAAAAAACATGGCTTCCAATAACAATGATTTAAAAAAATTAATTGGATTGGTATTACTTCACATCCATTCAAAGCCACAAGCAGAGGTGGAGAGATCTTTCTAAATAAGAAATCATCAAATTCTAAAGAACTATTAAACATCCTAAGTCATCGCAGATCCATGGAACACATCTTGTGGAGAGGCTATTTTTGAAAATTAAAATTTGAATAGTACATTAATTATCTAATTAACCAGTTCTTTATGATTTCATTAAATATTTTCAGTGAATATTGCATCTTTTACTTCAAATGAAATATTGCACAAATTTTTAATATTTTCAAACAAAGATTTGTTTAGATTTTATATTTGTATTGCATAACTAACTATTAAAATATATAGTAATTCGTAGAAATTGAGTTTATATAAAATATTATCCCCCTCCTCCCAGAATCTGTAGTTTTCCTATTCATGGATATAAAAAATGTCTATCACCTGGGGAGATTGATTAAACTTGCAAAATCATCATATATTTATTTTTTTCTTTTGAGAGAATAAACCATCTATTATTGTAGCCAAATAACCTAATTGGAATACACTATTAAAAAAATTATAATTGGATACCACAGTCTTCAGCTTTAGCACCTAGTCAACAATTTGATGGCAAACTACTAAAGTACGTACTTCACTATTACTCAAAGACATTGAAATATTCATTGAAGGACATAACCATGGCAATTAATATCTTAAATCTGAACTTCCTCAACCATTTATAAGTAGGTGTCAGTTCTATCTACCATGATGTTTCTAGTACACAACACATTCATGTTACTTTAGCTGAGGTACCCCTTCTTCAAACAACTTTATTACAACTGTTATTTATTGCATAGAATTCAAGTTTTCTAACTGGGGTAATAATAATACGAACTGACATAATGGTTTGCAAACATTTTTTGATAGAAATTTAACCTTATAAATGACATAGGCAGAACCAGGGGTGGTAATAAGGGCCATTGTCCCTCCCCAAAAAGTCTCAAGTTTTTTTTACCTTCCTTTATGTGGCAAAATTGAATTTAATTAATCAAATTTAAATATTTATTTATGTCCATATTATGTAATTATTTAAATAATAATATTGTATAGTATTATATCTACAGTACATGAATAATATACAATATAATAATAAATGTTTATTATTTAATAAAAATCTACGATATATTAAGGAAATACCATGCCAATAATTTCCTTTCCGAATGTGATTAATAGAGCCCAAAAGTTTGGCAAGCTGCCTTTTTATTACTGTTATGATTTTAAGACTTTTAACGATTGGAATCCCTTAACTGTACCTACTTCTGGACTTGTTTAAAAAAATTTCCATTTTGCCTTTTTTAGCTTCTGATGTCTATTTGTAGTGATTTTGCCTTATTTTGACCTGTTTCTTCCTCTTACCACATAAGTCTTCTTTTTTTCTCTTGCATCAATCATGATCAAGCCAGAAACATACCTACAAGCCTGGACAATACGAAGGCACTGTCACATTTTGTCTTTCTCCGCAAGTAGAGACTCTGGGGCAGAAGTGTTAAAATATAAATACATCTATCTAAGATGATATCAATTAAGATGTTTTGATTGATGCTTTCAGGCATTGTTCATTTACAAAGGATCCCATCCTGTCTTTGAGAACGCCCCCTGTTCCCTTTTAAAGACAAAGCTCTCTGAACATGATCGACAATGCTGCTCTTCTTATATTTCTTAAGTGTAAAGAATGAAAACATTAATCATGATTTCACTAATGCAACTTTAGGATTGATAACCTGAATAGTAGTGATTGAATCTAACCCAGGAATACGAGCTATCAGCTGAAAATTCACCATTTTCCCCCCTGCAGCTTTACATAACCTTCTCTTTACTGTGTAAGCAGTAGTGAGGAAGTAAAAATTGTGGATACACAGATCAGATTTCAATACTTTCCAGCATTTTTATTTCAAAATATACGAATATAATCATTTTAAATGTTAAGTATTTGTAGTTGCTTATAATTACACTGATAAATTAATATGAATATACTTTAATAATAATATTTAAAATAAGTTGTACATAAATTTTACAAATTGTTTCTTCATGGAGTTCAATTTACAAAAAAGTTGGTACTGAAATGTGTCAGTCTTCATTAACTCAGGTAACCTATTCTTAGATTAATTAAAAATGAGAAATTGAACACCAGCTTTTTCGACACTTTTAGATCAAAATTTACATGAAACATTTAAAGCAAAACATTTGGGTATTCCTCTAATTTCTTCAAGTTTTTCTTTTCTCTCAGATTTTGATGATCTTAATGACATACTTAAAACCAAAAAGTATAATATTGCATATCAATGAAGCCTGTATTGTTCTTGAGTTTCGGTTAGTAGACCTCTGTACAAAGAAAAGAAAAATAAGCAAAGTTATCAAAACAAAAGGAAATTTAAAAATGTAAATACATTTCTTACTTGTGAGGTACCGCATGTGTTGTTTTGGGTAATGTTCGTATTGTTGCTTTACTTTGAAATACCAAAGAATCATAAATTGGATATAAACGTATGGGCACTTTCAAGAGAACATTTCTTTTATCACCTAGTGCCTGGTAAAAGAAAAAAATCAATGTTTGCTAATGTAATTTTGTAACTGTTTAAAGAAATATATATATATTATATATATATATTATATATATATATTATATATATATATATTATATATATATATTA